ACTAACTAGTGCATTAAAATTATTCATATACTTACTACTTACCTATATAAAATTAAAATGTATTGCTCACAAACGCCAATATTTGGATTTTAATACGCCTTTTCCACGAATCGGTAGACATCTTGAAGTGATGACAAACAGCCTAAGTCACTGGTGCGGAACAAACAAAAATAAGATAAGCTAGGCCTAGCTGCTTTACTCCTAGCCGATACGCAGTGTGCCCATGGTGTGGCTAACGAAAGTTTTGTTTTTCTGAGCATGTGTAGATCGTGCTTATCTGGCTCATTTGCATAACAATACCGCACATAAGGCTAATTCAAGTTAAACCAGCCAGCTTCCTATCCTGATAACAGTTAAAAGTCCTTGATTAATGCACTCAATAAACTTAACTTATATCGACTGAAGCTGAGCACTCGCTGCACCCAACGGTTGTTGACCCACATGATTCTTCGGAGAAAGCAACCCAACGACACATACTCACAGAATATAACCCATCTTCCATAAATTCATATTTGCATTTTCTTAATACATTATTATCAATTGTCTCACGGAAGCCAGTGCCGGTAGACATCTCTGTGCGCGGCAACCAGCAATTCAGATCTCCTGCAGTGGGGCCATGAAGGGTACCCAGCAACTCTGGCGTTTTTATAATTCTGTGATGTATTTTAATGCTTTATTAACACATTCAAATTCTAAGTTTATGTATCAGGCGACTTTGAATTCGCCGCTACCGCCCATTTAAACTTCTATTTGAAAACTGTACCGTACTCTTGCAACTTTTTCAAGTTTCAATCACTCGGCAGACTTCAGCTTGGAAAAGGGCCTTGGTTATTTGTTTAAAAAAAACAATATTTGAATTTGCTGGGTGCCCCTTCAGGCTCAGGGGCCCTAGGCTCCAGCCAGTAAGAGCTCATAGCCATTACACCACTGATCTCCCAGAAGTGACTACTTCCAGCTTGAGACCCCTGGCATTTATAGATGTTTGAATTTAATATTTTTTTTATATTAATTTTATAATCGCCTAATCTGAGCCTTAAATTTGGCCAAAGATAAATTTTAGTAATAGTATTGGATATAGTAAGAGGATTATCGTTAAATATATAAACTTGCTTTAGCACAAATCCTTAGAATTAATATTTTCGACAATGTCAGTCGTTGAGCTCTTCAGTTTTACAGTGTACAGTAGTATCAACTCAATTACACAGGAATATAAATTGATAAAATGATATTAAATGCAATGTGATATGGTGGGGTTTTTTTCATATTTATGGGGTTATGCCAATTTGGATAAAAAAAATATCTTCAAGACTATTTTTTAATCAGTAACGTGTTACTCAAAAGTTACATAGAAATTAATTATATAGCAACATAGTTATATAACTACATAATGAGTTATATAGAAACATAGGGACTTGTGTAACAACTTGATTTGCATAGTGACATGAATTATGTTATTATATATAACATCAAAATGAGTTGTATAACAAATTATTAAAAATAAAACTAAAATGTGTTATTGATAGTGTTAACATAATAATAGATGTTTATGTTAATTTTCAAGAACTACAATCTCAGTTATCAAATCTTTCCAATAAATATATGTTCAGGTGTTTCTGTGTTGTAAAATTTGTTTACATGTTGCTAGGGTAACACTTATTTTGTGGAAGAGAATTAATTGAAAACTTTTTTTTTTTTTAATTTCGGAATACACATTTTAAAAATATTTAGTGTGTCCCATACCTTTTGAAATAAAAGAAAAGATCAAAAGAATGATTTTGAAGGAAAACAATCTTGCCACTCTTGTTGATATATGCTGGAACTAAAATTTTATATACTTTTTTTTTCATGTCAAACACATAGGTCAACCATTATTATTACATATAAAAGAAAGTTTCCTTTTAACGGCAGTTTTACATAATGTATTACTGTAGTGGTATGTGAGCAAGTCCAGTGGCAAATCTAGGTGGTTGCGAAAGGTCAACTCGCAACCATGTGTAAAATCATTTTTAAATTGGCTAAAACACCGTAGCTTTCAGGAAACATAGCCACTGGACACCACAATCGGTACAAAAACACCCAAACCCCCGCTGTCACCATGGATCATGGACACTGGAAAAATTACATGCTAGCATAGTCAAACTAATTTAGTCTTTACAGCACAGGTTAGCAAGTGTTGGTCACATGTGGCCTGACAGTGATATTTTTCTTTGCAGGTCCACAAAAATGAATTGTTTAGCTAGAAAGGACCTTGTTTTTTACGGCCTGACATCGATCATCTGTAAAAATTAACATTAAAACTGAGCATAAAATTGTATAAAAGCAGAGCATGAAGGCTTATGGAAGTGCACTGGAAACAAAAGTTTGGGTGTGGCCCTCGGTATTAAATAAAAAATTCACTTTGGGCTTCCAACTTATACGAACTCCTGCTCTACAGGATCATGCAACACCTCACTGAAGGAATATTGCACTGAATGCAAGTGACACCCTCATTAGTATACAAAATGAATACAATTTCACCATTTAAAATATGCATATAACAATATGATTTATTACAGCAAATCATTAACATATAGTATAAAGCAAATATACCAACAAAAATGCACTATACTGTTACATACAGACCAGCTCTAAATCTTTGGATAAAAACAGACATAATATATTTTAATAGTACTGTACTCAGCATTTTGTGCGTTCAAATACAGTTGAACTATTGTCTTTTTACAAGTCAAAAGCAACTTTTACAGAATCTTCATTTTCCTACAAACTTGATGTGGTGGACACTTTCCACTTTGGGTGCAGCTATCTATGCTCTACACAAGAATTGCCTCAACCAAAGAACCACAGATCATATAGTATATTGGTAATTATATATTTATTTATTCAATTCTTATTTATGATATTCCAGATATACTGTCTGGGGTTAAAATATGGGAAAACCTACTAAAATAGAAAATTAAATTGCTTGTTTAAGGGGGTCAACTAAGTTATCAAATGATAAACAGCCAAAACAAATCCAGCTTTTGAAGAATTACATATATTTTACTACACTTATTGATTACCAATGTCTATTAATATGCAACACAACACTTTTTAGAGTAAAAAAAGTGCATTTAACACCTAAAATAATTCATCTTACATTTTAAAATGTTACATCCTTCATTTTTTCAAATTGCAGATCAAGCTAAGTCCTAGATTATCCTTGATACACAAATATCACATTGGTGTTCCTTGGTATTAACTAATCAGACACTATCTCTTCCAACCTCATAGCATACTGTACATTCTACAATTGTTTCTTTACTTCCTCTATTGTCTTTGTATATGTAACATTTGCAATTCAACAAACTTGGAGGTCATTTTTATTTTGTAGTTCCTCACCAAAACAGACTGTCCATCGACAACTGGTTTTCCTACATTGAAGGTACACAATTGGAAGACATTTCTGTTCAAATAACATCACATTTGCAATCCCATTTGGTTTCACCTCTATCATAACAATTACATCTTTAGCACCAGAATACACATCAATACAAATATCTACGCATTCACAGAGTGTCAATGGGGCTCAGGTACATGACCGTCAACATAAAAGTTGCGTGTTGCTTTAGGCAGTTTGACCACCATGCCTTCAAGGTCTTTTGTGAGCTTAATTTGACAACCTGTGAGAAAAAAAAAACAATGAAATATAATATTCAATATATAGGGGATTTGGATAAGTGGATACACTTGTCGTGTTGGACGTTTTTTGATTGATTCTATTTGGTCATCTTTAGAATTTACAATTTGTTCATACTTACGTGTTTATGTAAAACAAATTTAATTGTGTATTGTCAAAAGAAAGGTTAAAATATATTTATAGAGGAAGCTATAATGTTAAATTGATTGACAGAATTTGAAAATAAGCAATCTGCAGAAGAAGTTAAAATAAACTACTATATATATTGAAAATCATAAAACACAGAAGCCTAAATTTGGTAAGACAATTATGGAGGCTAAATAACAAGGCAGCAGCAAAAATTAATTATCAACGAATACTTTAGTCCAGCAAAGGAAAAGTTGGGAAGACTCAGGAATACATGGATCAAACTACTTGAAGAGAATCACTTGGAGATATTATTTCAGAACTTACCTCGAACAATATTAAAGAAGTAAAATGACAGACAACTATGGCAAGTACTAATGTTGATAAATCTACAAAAGATTCTAAAATTACTCACTGAGACGAGAAGTGCTTGTGAGAAAAGGTGCTAAATCCAACATGTCTTCTTCCCTGGAACAAAGGAAAAAACGGCATTATGAATACTACATGAAGTATGGAGGTATTGGCGAGGACAAACTAATCTTAGCAGTGGCCACCACTGCTTAGCATCCCTGCATTTGGAACTGAGGACTGGTGGAACAATGATCCAGCACCTCAGAACCAGTGAATTGTGATTTCACTTAGTTTAGCATGTACAAGACTCCCTCAAATTAAAGACTATCTTCAATTAAGAACAATTTTCTGTGGTCCCAAATTAACAAATGTCTTTTATCTTCATTGATCTAATCAGAGACCAAAGCTGCTAAAGACCATGGAAACACCGATGTCCCAAATGTAATTGGAGGGAAACCTGTATTCTTTAATTAGCCAAATTTTAAAGCTACTGAAAAGTGGTTATATGTCAGTTTATACAGTATTTGAACTCACTCTTCTTCTATTTCTGGAAGTTTATCAAAGTATTCCTCATCTAGAATTACATGACATGTACAGCACGCTAGTGAGGCTTCACATGCACCTGAAAAAAGAAAAAAAAAATGAGCTGTATACGTGCAAGTTTACATGTTTTAGGCAAGAATTTTTTAGACATTGTTCAGCGAACCCACCGCCCGCCCATAATGATGATTTAGAATAAAAATAAGATTTTGTTTTTAGTCAATTAGCGCACCCGCCCCCACAAAAAAATGGAAATTTTTAAATAAATAAATAATAATAATAAATTTTTAATAAGTTTTTATTTATTTTAATTGAAATCTTCAATAATAAAATATGTATATTTCTTCCTAATTATATAAATTTAAAGCATTTAACCATCTCATTGCTACACTGTTTGTATTCAATAATAAAAAGTTATTTTCATTTTCTCCTCTATCTGAATGTTTTTGGCAAAAACATTTACTAAATAAGAAAACAAAATTTTATTTCTTTTTTTTTTCCACCCTACTCTGACGGTCTTTAAAAAAATAAGTTCGCGAAACAAGGTATAAAAAAAGGACTCGCCTTACTGCTCTACAAAATTACAAAATAAAAGAAACAAGTAATAAAACAGCAGGTAAAATAGAATTTGAAATTCTTGTGAAGACTGCATTTATTACCTTCTATTTCCACTCCATGACGATGAGACAAATACATAACATTGTCTCCTATTTTTCCTTGTACAGGTATTTGGTCGCCATCACGATCAATGTAAACAATATTGACGCTAATAATGAGAAAATCAGCGCACCATTAATTTTAAAAAAACATTAAAAATTTTAAATATTAAAAAAAAGAAAAAAATCTGCTGCTGCCTATCAACATAGTCACAGAACTACTTTCAAAATGTTAAAGGCAAAACTTAACTGAAGAAAAATGCATTCTATTTTCTACATAATTTTAAAAAGGACCATATTTTTACATTTCATCTGGGCTTTCAGGATCCTTCATTTCATACTCTCCATTCCTTAAAGGTCCTATAAGATAAAAGAAAATGATCATTTACATTAGTTTTTCAAAAACTATTAATTCAAGAACATATTTTTTTAATAAATAGTAGTAATAGTTAATATATATTTCCTTGTTGGGCTTGCTACAACATAACTACATTGTAATAATAAATAGTTAATACTCTGTACTTAATTTTTAAAATGTGACTTAGTAATAAATAGGCCTAGTCTATAATTGAATCTAGGAAGGAATGCTGATCATTTCGATCATGCAGTATTGTTATGCATTACCTCGGTCACGATAAACAGCCACAGTATGTAACGCCAGTGTACGCACTAGTGCTTTATGTTTGGAAAGTAATTTTTGAAGGGTTCTGTATTTTTAAAGTTTTTTTGGTGCATGTTTCAGACTGGGTATTAATTTAATTTATTTTGTTTTTTTTACAATGCTTGACTATACTTTCTGTATTTTTTTTTTAGTATGATTGTTGTTTAAGTCTTTTACGATTGTTAGTAATTACAATTAATTTGAATATAATTTTAGCGTGTTCTTTTTCTTCTTACAGATCCAGAAGTGAAAAGTCAAGTACATATTTCTATTTATCAATTTCTGCATTATTCATAATAAAGGCCTAGGAGTGTTGTTACAATTATGATTTAATTTGTTTAATCAAATATACTTTTATATCAGAATATTAAAATATATGTATTTGTACATTTCATTTAAACTATATTTTGCAATTTATTTGTGTATTTTTGTTATAAATATGATCATCAGGTAAATGACTCGAAGTTAATGGTGACATGAAGTAGGTGAACGCACTGGAACACCTTCACTGCCCCATGACCTGCTAAACTGAGCTAGTCATCTAAGTATATTTAGCATCTGACCTACTTATGTTTTTGCAGTGCAATGCGTCCACATTCCTGAAGGCGGCATACAAAGAATATGCCTTCTTACCCTCATGAGCACCGTGGGAACCTTGGTTGTGGGCAACAAGTACAGGAATAGGCCTCGAAGTAGTGAATTTTTCTAGCTTTAGAAGTGATACATGTAATAATATTACATGTAATTATATTATTAGAGTAATACAAATTGTTAGTCAACTAATGTTTAAGTTTTGTGTTTATAAATATACTATACTGCTTAGTTTAGCTCCCTTGCTTGTTACAAATTCGCGGTCGCACCTTCCACGGGCCATACACCACGACCGAAATGCATAACAAAAATAGCGTGACTGAAATGAAGGCGCGACCGAAATGATTGGATACCCTATAATTAAATAGTAGATCCTACTCTATAAAATATAGAGAGCGAGTTAGCTACCAGACCATAATGTAAACCCTAGAGGCCTAGATAGATAGCAGTAGGTATAAATAGGCCTCCTAGGCCTCTAGTACAGGCTAGCTTCATCATCACTCAGGCTCCTAACTACGCCTTTCCTAGCATCCACCTCTCTCTGGCATACTACTTTACTAATCTAGGCCTTTTCCTAGAGTAAAAGCAGACCGGCCTAGCCTAGGCCTAGTCCCTAGCTAGGCTAGGCTAGACTAAAAAATAGTAGAAACTTGAGCTCCTGTGAAAATGAACATACCTGAGCTCCTATGAAAATTACGTTGATTTGCTATCATCATTCTATAATGCTGGCATTGCACAATTTCAAATTTCGATTGCATTATTAAGGATAAAAGAGGTTGCATAACCCTGTGTTGCCGAAAAAGCAGTCTTCCAATGGGCAGCGCCATGATGGTTTAGAAAAGAAAAGAGAATTTACAAGCCAACTTAAGTAATGAAAATCGTTTCCAAAACAGAAAAGCAGATACAGTAGATCCATCTATTCAATTCATTCATCCATCTGTTTGTTCGTCGTTCCTTTGTTCATTCGTTCCTTTATTCATTCATCTATTAAACTCATTCAGTCAGTCATTCATTCATTTAATAAATCAATCATGTACTAAATCATTCATTGTTTCATTTATCTGATGGAGATTCATGAGCAACAACACTGATAAATTGGTAAATTCAAACAACATAGTTAAATATTTAAAAAAATGACATAGGCCTACATTATTTATGCTATTTTATTTTGAATACTTTTATACAAAAACCTGGAATAAGAACAATAACACAATTTTAACATATATATTCCAAGTTTTCCAACTTGCTGTTCTTTTCCAATGGAAGTAATACAGGAGCACAATAACTGAAATAAACAACCAAGACCACCTCCCTTATGTACTATCACTGTTAAATAAAATTCTCACCAAAAAATGTCACACGGTCCATTTGGCTACACCAACAAAATTATTCATCTAAGAAAGTGTTCTACTATCGCAGTTCCTCTGGTATAAGCCCACCCCTCCCCCTCAATGGCGTATCTAGGGGGTGCGCGGGGAGCGCATGCCTCTCCAAGAAATACTTGCGCTACCCCAGTAGCCCCCCCAAAAAAAATCATATGATCAAGGAATTAAAAATCACCTAAAATCACCTTATTTTGTGAGCTATCACCCCTCAACTGATCATCGAGCCCCCCCCAACTTATAAGAGACAGCCCATGTCCCCCCCCCATATCACCACCCCCATTTTTCAAGACTCCTAGATACCCCCCACTCCTTACTGAACACAAAATTGGGCCAATTTTTGGTGCTTATACCCGAGGAATCCCCTTTTCAATTAAATGGCAATTTTCAGTGATTATTTTTTACTGATTTGTGCTCTGGGCTTTTGCCCATGGAAGGCTGGTATGTAGAATTGGTCGTAAAGTAGGGAGTAATATTATCTTATACCCGAAGTGGACTTATACCAAAGGAACTAGGGTATATGAATACTGTATTTCGATTTTTATCATGCACAAAGACAATCATAGCAACTGCAAAATGTAGGGACATCCTATATTACTGTAAATGCTCGAATAAGCGCCGTTCTCGAATAATTAATGGAACACTTTGAGAAACAGGGGTTTAAATACAGTGTAATACAGTATACAGTGTTAAAATGAATAACACAATGAAGACACAAGCATTTCTTAGAGAAACGTTTATTTACAATAACATAGGACCTATGATATGCGTACTGAACTACGGGAATACCAAGATAGGAAACATGGGAACGGGCATTGACAGCACCATGCCAATATTTTTTATAAGCGCTGCTCTCGATTAAGCACCGCACTGAAGTGTTACAGCACATATTTGAGCATTTACGGTAATATATATTTTACTGGAAACAAATTCTACAATTTTCCATTCAAACCAGGTTTGCTTTCAACAGACTGAAGAGTTTTAAACTGTTTTGGTTTTATCTCAGATATGCATAACTTGGTCTTAACAATATTTTATATATTATATAATTTTTTTTTTTTTTTTTTGCCCTAGTTTCTTTGGTTTTCTTGTACATATCTATGAAAATTAATCATGTTAGTAGTCCAATCAAGTTCTTTCTCTTCAATATAACTAACTTTGGTTTTACAATATGTGGTTTGATCATGATAAACATGTTGTATAAATGAGAGCTATATTATCAGCTTCTAAAAGCTTGGTAACCAAGCTACTACACTCACCAGAAATACATAATAAATATAAAGCAAATATTCTGGCATATGAAACTGTTTGGCAAAGCATATGGGTTTGGGTTTTTCAATTCCTAATCACAAAAAGGATTTAAAAAAAAAAAAAACAAGTATAAGATATGGACACATCAATCGTTTAAAGTAATGTATTTCTAATAATTTGTAGAATTTTCTACAAATGTGTAGAATTTTATCTGGTCAATGGACACACTATAGGTCATGTCTACAACTTCAATGTTAAGTAACTACTATTGATGGGGTTGTTCACTCTGTAGATAATATTTATGAAATATGGAGTTCCCAAATACACGGCGATGGTATGATCTAGAACTTAACATCACATGAAGTCGTCTAAGTTCTAGAATGTAATTCTAGTCAAACATACATTTTGCAGAAAACACAGGACTAACAGGGGCAAGAGGTAGTTAAAAGAAATGATGTACATTAAGTATTGATGGTCAATGATAACAGTTGGTGGTGAGTGTTAATTGTTAGTGGTTATGTAAATATACACTGTATTGGTTATCAGTGGTTATGTAGTCAGTACTTTAGTGGTGAATGCAGACGGTAAGCACTAATGGTCAATATTAGTGGAAAAAGCTGGTGGCACAGTATTTTGATGTACAATAGTGGTGGTTAACATTTAGTGGTCACTGTCGGTGGTGGTCACTGTCGGTGGTCAATATTCAACAAGAGCTCTAACAAATATCTGTTCTTGGTAGAGAGCACATTGGGTACATAATTGAAAACAGCACATGTAGTGGGCCTGAGTGCACCAATGTTATGATGATTGTGAATGGATATGTACAGTACAGCCCATGACACACTGAGTTGTCTGACACAGTGTTTGCCAGGCTTAATGTGTGTGTATGTTGGAGGGTTTGTGTTTGGAGGTGTGTGTCGTGTGTTGTGGTGTTGGTACGTGCCTTCCTATGTTACTACATTTTAAGCACAACAGTATAAATACTTGCTTGGTGGGGAAAAAAAAAACTATAATACAAGGTTGAAACGTGTCGTGTGTTGTGGTGTTGGTACGTGCCTTCCTATGTTACTACATTTTAAGCACAACAGTATAAATACTTGCTTGGTGGGGAAAAAAAAAACTATAATACAAGGTTGAAACATCTACTACTATAAACATATCTACTGTGTTCTACATAATAAGTACAGTATGCAAAATTCAGACTATGTACAAAATACATTTATCTATCTACAATTAATTATGCTGGATAATCCCATAAATATGAGGCCATCTCGTTTTCATGACTTGAGAAAATGTCTTAAGGCCTGTCCAGACTATCCAATTTCATTTGACAAAAACATGTGAAATGCCTAAATATGGTCAAGATGACATCACATCATGACCATATATAGGCACATCATGACTATATATGGGCATACAGTTTTTTTGTATTTGATAGTCTGGACAGGGCTTCAGATGAAATTTATAATGAGATGTGGTTACAACGCAACAGTATTATAATCAGAGGTGAATTCAATACTGTTGTATCAGTAAAATAATTTTAAAAATGTAAAAAAAAATATTAAATATATAAAATTTAAATGTCACATTTTTCATTATTTTCAATGAATTTTTTTCATATTTCCACCATGATTTAACGTTTAAAAACTTGTAAAATGCAACACACAATAATTATTTATATGAATGTTTACTTTTCCATGAATGATCAGTGATTTTCATATTCAAGTTCCCCTGGTTGTAAACAAGCATGGCTACGCTGATACAATGAGTGACAAAAGTATACAGTAGAACCCCTATAAGTGTCCCCCTTAATAGGGGTGTTCCCCTTGAATAGGGGTTGGCGGTAGTATTAAAAGATATACTTTCGCTCGTTCAGTGGCTGAAAATGTCCCCTTAATAGGGGTTTCCCAAAGGAGGTGGTCTACTGTATTTGATTTACTCAAGAACTAAAATGTTGAGTTTAAATTTATAGATATATCTACAGTTTTACATATGGTAGTAATACAAGCATTATAGTATTGTGTACAAGTATTGTGTTAAATAAATAACATCTAAGTTAGTCTAAGAGTACTGCCTTTTAATTTTCTTCAAGTATTATAGCAAATTTGTCATCACTAATTATTCATGAAATCCATAATATTCAGACTTTTCCTCCCTGAAAAAAGTACAATAATTCGTAATCTATTATTGTTTCTGGTGTGTATATTTTTTTATCAATTTATCTTACCACGATTTTAAATAATTTATATTTCTTAGCATTAAAAGCTTTTAATTAAATTTAATCATATCTTAAATTGCATCACAGATGCAATAAAATGGCAGTTGCGACATTATAAAATTAATTTCAAATACTGAAGATAAAAACTAATTGTGGGATATACACTACCTATTAATCAAGTGGTAAAATTCATTTTTTTTTAAATCACTGAACAGATAAAGCAGACAGTTGCAGATTCAAGGGGGAGTCAAAGTCAGACATACCCACCACCTCCTAACTTTTTCAAAATTATACGAAAAAAAAGATAATTTTGTTCATAGCCTGAGAGTTCCTGCCATCTAGAGTGCCACAACCATAATTTTTTTTTTGCTTCTAGTCAATCCCTGGGCCCCCCTCTACTTAAAATTCCTGGATCCGCCACTGTAAAGCACATTTGTCCAGGTCAGGCAACAGTACACTGATTTGACATGTTTGTAAATTACTGTATAGGAATTTCTTTTAAAGTAACTTATCTTACATTACTGGTGTGCAGTACATTTTGACAATCAATTAACTTGTCTAGATGAATGCAGCAACACAGTCAATTACATCTAAGGAGAGCTCAGGATGTTACATTTTCAAGATGAAATGAATGCAGGTTCACACACGTGATGGCTTGAACATGGAAGAGTGCTACTTTAATACAAGTGCTCTTCATAATCTCAAAAGAGATTTTATAGCCAGTTATATCTTACTGTTTGATAGACAACAAAATCAGAAAACAAGAAAAATGATTAGAAGGCAGTGAACAGTTGGTATTCAGATAAATATTTCAGCTTATCAAACCTTAATATTAAGCACAATTTGATGATAGTAAATCAAGGCATTCTCATTTCTCTCATACAACCTTAAAACAAATATTATATGTACAAAAATTAAAACTTAAATTACTGGGGCACAATTACAGGAAGGATACTAACTTGAAAAATATTAATGTCCCTTTTCAACATGAATCCATAAAATTTTTAGTTTGCAATTCTGGATTTCAGAACTTGCCTGCTAAACAGCTCTCAAATCTGATGAACAAACAGTTTATATAAATTTCACAACGGAAAAGTACAATGGTACCTGTAGTCAATTATTGGTCCAGCCAAATAAGGTATGATTATTCGCACGTTATCTTCACATCAGTCCCAAGAAATCTAAAGGTTTCATATTATTGGCTTGTTTAAAAATTTGTTCAAAACGCAGTATCCACATGATGCACCTGGACAGGTACCTGAAACATTGATGATGACGAAGATGGTAAAACTGTTTGACCTGGAAGGGGCTCAATTAACTTCTCTTGACCTTCAAGAATATCTTGACTGGGGACGATATGATATGAACGTGCTTTATTTCGACGTGACTGCCTTTCGCTCGAAACACGCGGTGGTGGATTGAGCAGCGGGGGATCGATTAGAGAAGTTGAAACGGATGACGCATCATCTGAGAATTCAGCACGTCCATGGTAACCACGCTCATGATGTAAGGGTTCCGGTTCCACATAATGGTATTCGCTGTCTTCGTGTGGAGTCATGGTACTGTAACCATGGTCGCTCTCGCTTGGTGTACCACCATGATGGTGCCGCCAAACATGATGGCGCATACGCTGATGGTACGGACTTGGCCGGTCAAGAGCTGCCAGCACAATGTTTGCATGTATATCTGAACAGAAGAGCAAAACAAATTAAGAACAATAAATTTAAGAAAAACTTTTTTATTTTAGTTTTATGTTATTTTATTAATTTGTCATGTCACTGCATGTGTCACACAAAAATGGCATCCCAACTGTCACCAGTATGATGTGTGAAAATTTATTATTCAAAAAATATAATTTAACAATTTAACTGAGAATAACTGTCTAAAGTTGGCAAAAAAACCAATACGATAAGTCAAACACTTACGGCCTCCAATAGCGCCACCACCTCGTGTAGGGTCCATCGGACTGTCATCTTCAATATCAGCCTCATTTTCTTGAGACATGCGTACTGAAGCATCTTGGTAGTTTGCCATCTCAAGACGTTGTAAGCGATGAACATTGTGGCGGTAGATAAAAAATGACAAAGCTAGCACCACAATAAAGCCCATTAGGCCGCCAGCCATCGGACCAACTTGAGCCCCAGTGCCATCGTTGTAGTATTTCTCATTGAAAGTTGAATCTGAAATTGATTTGGATTATTGGTTAAAATTTTCTATCCAAGAATAAAAATGGGTAATACTAGCATTCTAAGCTAGAAAAACCTTTGTTTTTATGGCCTGTTGCCAGTAACATCAGTAAAAGAAAGCATGGTAAGGGTGAAGCAGTTAAAAAGCGCATTTTCACAGGAACACAGGAAATGTCAAATTTTTCTATAAAGTTTAACTGTGGCCATCAGAGTGAAAATGAAAGTACACTTCGGTATCTGACCCACTATTATGCTAACCATTGCAGTCTAAGTGTACTTAAAACTTACATTCTTCATCTCCATATGGTGATTTGGCTCCCAAAACCCCACCGAAGCACTCCCTTTGTGTTGCGCAGTATGGGCTACTAAGCAAAGTAGAGCCATCTTGGTCTATCTCGCACCATTCGCAGTCAAGTACACCAAAGCAACTATCATAGGTGGTTCTCGCTTTGCAGTTTGATTCATAACACTGGGGTAAGTCTTGGGTCAAGCTTGCATCAACTTTGGGTAAAATTACTGGTTCCTCTGGACATGGGCAGCTTGGTTTTCTAAAATACAAAAGATTGTAAACAACAATTTTTGTCGTTTATTGTTATAATAGTCTCAACATGGCCATAATGAGGAAAATAAAGTTGTTGATGATAATAAAAGGATTTTTATCAAGAAATAAACAGATACAGTACAATGAGGAAAATGACAAGGAGGAGAAACTTAATGAGAATGACTATGGTGACATTGATGATAAAAATGTTTAAAAATAATTCCAATCAATGAACACTTTGATACTCACTTGTCATTAAGTGTTATTGTTCCACCACACTGATCTATCTTAAGGGTACATTCACATGGACACTCGCATTCTGTCTGCTCCATGCGGTGGCAATTCAGGCACACCCTATCCACCTAAAGAACAACACAGAATTAGTTGCCTTGCATTAGCAACGAAGATCACCATCAAAATTCATGCCAATAAATGATATTCTGAAGACTTATTTCCAGTGGGGTCCTTCTGGTGATGATTGGGCAGTACACTGGAAGACAATACCCTACTCTCTACCGAATAGTGTACTGCATTCTTTAACGTGCACACGGGCCATTATGCACATGGGACCAACGGCTTAAACGCCTCATCTAAAAGACCGCGCATTATCATAACTTGCATTTCAGCCCTCTAGCTGAAACACAAGGAGAACAGCGATGGGATTAGAGATCTCCACGGTTCAGCGCACACACAGTGGCTACCACCAGCTTAGCCGACTGAGCTATGCTGCTTTCTAATAATTGAGGTTTGCATCCCAAAACCAGCGTACTGTCACTAAATGTCACTGAGTAATCAGCATTAAGACTGTAGCAATATTGTATACTTCAGTACAGAGAAGTTGTAATATTTTTACTCATAACTTTGGCAAATAGTGTGTTATCACTATCTTAATCCTTCGTGAAATTCATAAAGTCAAAAATGTGATATCAATGACTTGTGTGAAAAAAAATGACAACTTACTGTACTACAAGGACAGAATGTTGTGATCATATCACATGTTTCATTCACAATGCCCATGAATGCATTTGTTCCTGGGATAGGCACGATCTTGTATTTTTGGCAATGGTCCTTATGTAGGAGATTAAATAGGAGCCCAGTCCAGCTGGTATTGAATTGATAGAGGCGCTGGATGGTGTCATCTGGATAGCTGTTGCATGACTTCTTCTTCACAAAGCCTTGGTGATTCAGAATATCATTGGCAACCAGAGGTTCCTATAACAATCAAAAGGTAAATATTCGTGTATTTTATTTACATATTCATTGTTTACTTATCATCCCAGGAAATATCCTTGTACTGTTACAGAACACAAGAAAATTATGACTGAAGATAATTATAATAACATTACCAATACAAATATATATATATATATATGTATATATATATATATATATTGTATCATTCCAAAAAGATATGATCAAAGGTGCAGTGTAACTAGATGTCAAAAAGTAGTCTAAAAACACAATCTTTAGCAATCCTAAAGTATTAAACTTTCCACATGAACCCCACCAGGAATTTTTAATTCGGGACCCTGACCTAGGCTATAGGTTCACATATCACTGTTGGGCTTGTTAAACTCCGTTGGCAAACACCTGGAGCCGCAACTGGCTGTGAAATATACTTCTGTGCAGTACAGAATATAAGCTAATCTACTGTGTACAACATGTTTTCCTGGTGCCTAAGTGATTACATAATTTAATTATCAAATATGGCAACATAAATAACAAAACCATTGATGTTACCTTGTGGGTGACATGCTGCTTCTCAATGGGTCCCTTGCCAGCAGGCTCTACTAGACTAGGATGTGCAATCAAATACCCAGCATCATCTATCATGAAGCACCTATGACAAGTAATAAAAATTACATTTAATAATAATTTATTTATCTGTTATATTTAATGTTCTTTCACAGCAAAGAAAACCAACCAAGGGCCTAAAATATGATACCATGATATATATATTTATGGTGTGAGAAAAACAAAATATTTCAGATGTCAATCTCCCCAAACAAGGAAAACTTTCACAAGAGGTGGCCCATAACAAGGCATTTAAAGTCAGTAAAGAGTTACATCTCACTGCTACTTAGGGATCGGATTCAACACTCCTCACGAAGCGCTAACTAGCTTGGTGTATTTGGGAGTACCCATGTATACCCCAACAGTAGGACAATTACTTATACATAAAATGTCCTACCCCAACAGTAGGACAATTTACTTATACATGGAATGTGCAATAATACAACAGTAGATTATGGCTTACCGAACAGTTGAATGTCTACACATAGGTAATGTGTCGAGAAGCAGCTTGTAAAAGTAGCGGATTGTGAAATCAATGCCAACAACAGCAACAACCCGGTCACTCGGATCATGCTTACCAGTTGAACTAATGAAATACAAAAATGAACAAATTTATCAATCACATCTTGGAATTATATTTAAATTAATGTTATTAATGTTAAGGGAATGATAATTAATAATAAATAAAAAATAACAATAAAAAAATTACCAGGATAATTGATACAGTATTCTATTTTAATATGTTTGTTCCTCTTGACTTGGAGAATAAAATATCAAAAAACAAACACTACAACATACCTGCCCTCATATAGTACATGGCTGATGGTGACCACATATCCCCCTCCCCCAACATCCAGGTACGGTGAGGAGACAGTCACCAATCCGGGGTTATCCAGGGCACGGACATACCAGCTTCGCAGTGATGGTTCATAATTCTTGTCCATCAATGTGCCAGGGTACATACGTAGTACGCCAGTGATTGTGACCAAGTACCTATAATATGAAATTATATAAAGAGGTTTAGACAATTGTTTAAATATTTAATAATTATACAATGAATATTTAAATGGCACCAGTTGATAGTAATAAACATCTGCACCCCAAAGTAAGTTGTTAGATAGAAGCTATATTTTTTTTTTTGTCAATTAACATTATTTAATAATTCATCAATACAATTCTCTCCACTTGATAGACAAGTAAAAAAGAATTTCAGGAAACGTTTGTAAATATCAATGATGATATCTATCTATGATGTCAATAATGACCTACAAAAATATAATAATAATACAAATAATATATGAAGTAAAAATCATGCAAGATGCAGTGATGCGTAACTGACAATGCAGCTGGAAATGTCAACATAACTAAGTATGCCCTCTGGAGTATGGGTCAGGAAATAGAGCATGACCAGGAATTTGGAGGTATTTTATAAAAGATTTTCATGGTCAGAGGCACAAAAGATTTTTCTCCAGGTCTGTGTATTGATTTTAATGCACTGGCTTACCTTCGGACAATGTAATCATTCAGCTCGCTCTTGCGAATCTGACTCATCCAAAATTTTTCAATGCCCTTGGTGACGCGTACATCATTCTTAATTGTAGGCTGCAATGATTAACAACAAAATTAAACACAATTTAATGATATGCACTGACTTTTGAGAATTATTTGCGTGGAAAACAGATACATTTAACAATTGTCTGTGGTATTAACAAATCTCAGTTACATGACAGGTTATTTAAATGGTAAGTTACAAAGAAGTAAACACAAAAACACAACAGATATATGTCAATTTTAACAATATGGGATTATCTAAATACCTAAAATACATTTAATCACATAAAACAGAGAACTATTAACTCATTGTCCTATAAAATTTAAAACAATTCATTTTTTATTTAGTGTAATTTCTTTTTGCTTTGATGTCTTCTGTCTTTATTATATTTAGTTAGTATTCAGTTTATTGTCTTATTAATCATGTACCAAAGTATAAGTTTTGGAAGTGGTCAACAAATTGTTTATTTAATGTTATTTTGAAAGTTCATTCTATTAAAAAATGTATGCACATATAACTTTGAAAGGCAATTACTCAAAATCATGTTTATCTTGATTCTAAGAGTACTGTACTTTCACTTTCCAATAACTTAGACTTGAAATGTCCAATTTCAATGAATGACCCCTTATTTTAAAGATCACAAACTCAGGTATCTGAAAATACCAATAACTGGAATTTCAATTTTTGCTACAACTTAGCCATTTTGCCACAACATGCCTCAAATATGGAAACAAAATGATTGACTTCAAAAATAGGAATTATATTCTGTACGAAATAATGATATCAGCGCACTTCAAAAATGCAAACATGCTGAACAATGCCTGCACCACCTTTGTTTGAAAAGCCATTACCTTAAAACCAGGGTTGGAGATGAGCATTGTGTTGTCATTCAAATAGGCCAAGTAGCCCTGTACTACATGCTTGGTTTCTTCCTGGCTGATGTGCTGGTAAGGGGAGTTAAAGCTGCTGGCTGCCAGCATCAGTGTACCTGAGGCTACAAAAAAATACAGATTGTGTAAAATATAGTATCTACTCTACTAGACAAGCAATAAGTATTAATGACAAGATTATTACTATAATATAAGTAATATGATATGTATAAAATGATACAACTATATACTGTAATTATATACATTAATATGGATGCATTCCTATTGAGGATATAATATTATCACCATTGTTGAGAATATATGCATTGTTGTGGATGTAAGCATTGGTGTTGACGCATTGGTGTTGATATACAGTATGCATTTGTGTTAATGTGTGCATTGGTGTTGATGTATCCATTGATGCTGATGTATCCACTGGTGTGGATGTATGCATTGATGTAGATGTATGCATTCATGTGCATGTATGCAATGGTGTACATGTATGCAATAGTATACATGTATGCCTTCGATATGTATGTATTAATTAATGTGGATGCATGCATTGGTGCGGATGTATGTATTGATGTGGATGCATGCATTGCTATGGATATATGCATTGGCTTTAATGTATGCAATGGTGTGGATGTATGCACAGATGTGGATGTATGCATTTCTGTGGATGTATGCATTGGTGTGGATATATGCATTGGTGTGAATGCATGACCTGGTGTGTATATATGCATTGATGTAGATGTATGCATTCATGTGGGTGTACGCAATGGTGTGCATGTATGCGATGGTTACTAGGTATGCATGCATGCATTTGGTATTGATGTATTCATTGATGTTCATGCATGCATTGGTGTACTGTAGAGGTATACATTGGTGTGGATGTATGTATTGATGTGGATGCATGCATTTCTATGAATGTATGCATTGGTGTGGATGTATGCACTGCTGCTGATGTATGCAATAATGTGGATGTATGCACTGATGTGGATGTATGCATAGATAATAATGTTATGCCTTGATGTGGATGTATGCACTGATGTTTATATATATATATATGCATCATGATGAATGTACACATTAATATTGATTTACAAGTCAAATAGTTATTTACTTTTGGTTCCCAATTGCTTCAGATGCATGCACATGGCGTTAGTGGGAATGAGATCGAGACGGTGATACAAAATACTGCCATCACTTGAGGCCATCTTCATCTGCTGCAAGTGCCGCATTTTCTGATTAGCCTCCAACCTAACGATACAGATCGAGTATGGACTGCCTGGTACCGGCATCCAGATGAACTTCACATCTGCTGTGCTATTGATGGACTGTCGCAATATAAGCTGCCCTCTATCACCACTGTAGAAAATGTCAATACAATAATGGTTTCTTAAGACTGAATGAATAACTCTTTATGTGAATTAGTGACTGCAATGATTGTTTCTACTGTAGTACTTTTTTGCTCAAGGAGCTTAGACAGAACCTCAGCTTACTGTAGGTGCTGTAAAATAAATAATAGGGACAGCCCTAAGCAGAGACCATAAAAATATAGTTGATAATTAGATGTTAGGCCTGTAACAAGGACTCCTTAATGGATTCCTTATTAGAGCTAGAGATCTGAGAGGGGTCACTCAAATTGTTGGATGTGTCACTCAAATAGTGGGATTCAGCCAAACTCATTAGGGCCTGGATGTAAATTCAAATGCAAACTGAAACCTACCTCATCATGGACTTCTTCACCGCATCAAACCCAGGAGCTTGTTCCAGTAAAGCAATATCAACAAATGAGGGCTGAGTTTTAACAAACAACGGTCGTGGAAGGGATGGATGGCTTAGAGCATTACCTGTGAACAAAGTTTTTAAAAATGTCTCCAACATTCTTATGATAAAAACTTCCATTGGTTTTCAGTTGGTAAATGGGGTAAATAGACCCAAGTCAATGTTATTAGGGTGTAAATTTAATAAATGCTATCAATAAAGCAGCAATATAAAACTTGAGAGGTTAAATATGCTGTGGACATTGAAGAATGGCCATATTCTTACATAAAACCACTATACTATCACCAATGTGCAATAAGCCTTCTTCTCTACAAAAATCTAAAAAAAAACTATACACTAATGAATGCTATTTGCACTTACCATTTTTGTCTGCAATAAACGCATACGAGACTTCTCCTTCGTGATAGTATGTGATATCTTCAAGCAAGTCACCGACACTGACGTCGATCCCAACTATACCAATTAATTCTTGGTTATAGAAGCAAGGCTTGGTAAGACTGATTATGTAAGCTGTATTAAATATATAGAAGCATAAGAAAGCAATATAATTTTACCTTAGACAGGCCTGTTCTGTACACTTGATTTCAGTGTATTTACATTTTTGCTGCTGGACCCCAGCAACATCATCACTTTTACATCCAAACACTGATTACAAGTATTTAATAAAGAATTACCTACTGCTTTTTAGGTTTTCGTTTATGCCATACTGCTTTAAACATGTATGTATGTATGTATACATACATATCTACATACATATATACACATGTAATTATATTCCCAAACGTAAATTAAGTGTATACTGTCCATCGAACACATTTTATCTTCCACTAATTGGTAAAAAATTTATCACATGTGTCAACATGATATAAAATGGACTATTCCTACTTACCTTCACCAATGGGATCTATATAAGGCAAGGAGAATGTTGGATTTGAAAGCACATATACTGGAAGATTAATGTAGAATCGACCAATCGTAGAAGGCAAGTTGCTCATCTGGTTCAAAACAGTCATAGCCCCTTTCTGCAAACAGACAATTATTTATTTGTTTATTTATTCCTTCTCTAGACTGCATGCATTTTCAGTACTTGAGTACTGTTTTTCAAAGTGGTACAGTTACAAACAGATCATCAAAATAGAAAGAAGATAACACACAAAACAAAGTCAAAAGGAAATTAAATGTAAACGTAGAATATTGGAATCACTTTGTTAATAACACAAGCTACAAAGGCAGAGGTTAGCCCCTCTTTCTGATCTGCCCTGGCATATAATAAGATTGACATCACATATATTTAAGATTTGTGCATGGGCATTTGGTGCATTTAAAAATAGCAATACTTTAGAAAATTCTACAAAGTATTTAGCAACTCGGTTTTGTTATTTGCTTATTTCGCTATGATTACTTTTTCTCCCAATACTAGTCTATTCTAGAATGGAATAATACCTACCTGTGGAAGGGGTAAACCAGATTCCTGTTTAACCTTTGAACTTCTCATTGGATCTGTTGCTGCTTGTTTCCCAGAAGTAGTTTTTCCAGACTCCTCTTTTGTGTTCTGTTCTGCCAAATCCCGTAGGAAAGCTAGCTCTTCCAGGCCAGTTCTTCCATCTTGGTAAAAAAGATGGAACATAACACAAAAATTGTGGTTTAGTAGAATGTTAAATGCACTGGAACTAAGTAGTATATTAAAGAACAGTATATTTCTAAATGCACCATATTTCAAGATCTTGAATCAATTGCTTCTCACCATCTATCAATGCATAAGTCATGATGATGACCCTGTTATTAATCTGCTGGTTTTCATCCACTACTGTCTTCACAACTTTCTTAGCCTCATCTTTACCAGAAGTGTTGCCGGAACTGATGTACACTATGATGCAATCTACAATGAAAATATATATGTAAATCAACAACAAGAAACAAGAAGCTAGATAATGCACTGAATACAATATATGGTACGAGGGAATCCCAAAATTCGTGTACAGTTGCTAATTGATAAACTGAGTAATGAGCATAAAATGTGCCAGTATTGTACACTTCAGCACTAAGAAGCCATAATAATTTTACTCATAACTTTGGCAATATAAAGTCGATTCTGGGCGTTAAATGACCCATTATTTTAAAGCTTACAATTGGAGAATAAGAATATCAAAACTTCAAATTTCATTTTTTTGGACACTTATGCTGGTTTTGGGATGGCAAGCCTTAAATTATAGGAATGTATCAATGCATAAAAATTTGACTGGGAATGAATTAAGTTTGGAAACAGTGACCTTTCACTAACATGGAAAATGTCATACCACTGAACATAAAGACTTTTGTGCCAATGGTGATATAACTGAATTCTTATTAGCAATTTGTTTATATCTATAAACAACAAACTGACCAATTGATTAATCTATTGTATTGGTTGATAGGCTGATTGACTGATAACCTGATTGACTGATAACCTGATTGATTTGATTGATTGACTGATAGATTGATTTGCTGATCTGGATTGCTTGATAAATTTCATGAATTACTGATTAAATAAAAAATAACTTACCAGCTAACGATACATTGTTATACTCGGGCTCAATCACTTGTTTAATCATTGAAAATGCTTTCTTTAATCCAAGAGTATGGTTTGTACTCCCCAATGATGAATCTGTAGGCAATAAAAGCAATCACACAACTAATTAATTAAATGAATTAGTCTATTTACTTGCTTATATTATAAATATGACAAATTCTTTGAGAAGAATGTATTGTTCACTGTATGTACTCAAGGATTTAGTTATAGTGGGTGGGACCATCCAGCCTTGAAGTTTTCCAGCCAGTCTAAAGCTAACTTCATGGTCCTCTACCCACTTTTTTTAACACCCATGCCCATCCATAAAATCCACTATTATTATTTTAGAGTTTAGAAAGCAGCTTAGCTCAGTCGGTTAAACTGGTGGTAGCCACTGTGTGTGCGCTGAACCGTGGAAATCTCTAGGTCACCGGTTCAATTCCCATTACTGCTCTCCTTGTGTTTCAGCTGGAGGGCTGAAATTTAAGTTACGATAGCGCGCCGTCTTTCAGATGAGACGTTTAAGCCGTTGGTCCTGTGTGCATTATGGCCCGTGTGCACGGTAAAGAACGTGTTACACTATTCAGAAATGAGTAGGGTTTGTCTCCCGGTGTACTGCCCAATTTACCGCCTGAAGGACCCCACTGGAAATAAGTCTTCTTCAGACTTTCATGGGTTATCCTAAGTAGTGTTTACACCGAATAAACCAATCCATCCATCCATACCAATGTCATCACCCACACACTGCTAAAATGTCTACCATCCACCCTTGGTTTACTATCAGCTAAAACGCTGTGTACTAATAATGACTAGACAAATTTTTCACTTTTAGCAGTAACCATGACAGTGATTAATTAAATACCGTACTACTAGCCAACCAACATAAAGATGTGTCCAGACTATCAAGTGATAAAAACCTATGATTTGCCCATATATGGGAATGAGAATGATATCATCATGCACATACATAGACAAATACCAATACTGTACTAATATTTCATCACTATATACACATGGAAAATTATTACATGGAAAATACATATCTGTCACAACAATTTGGTAATGTGGACAATGCTTAACATAATAATGACAAGAACAAATAGCACTTTGGAATCTACTTCAATTATGTGATAGGTGCTGTGCTCTGCTTTTGCAAGCTCAGCACACTTCTTTAGGCAATAGATAGCAATCATTACCTAAAGTGAGCTACTGCACACATTTCAAATTATAATTTATATAGCACATATAGAATTGTTGCAATATGTACTAATTAAAATTGGTATAGCACATATTGCAACAGTTTCTATACACTTGAGTACAATTTAAGATACTGTAACTTTGTAATTTTTATTGAATAAATAATTTACAGTGCATTTGTTTGTTTATGGTTTATTTTTTTTTTTGTTGTTAAGTGCCTCTAGGCTGTGACAATGTGAGGCGCTATATAAATCCAGAATTGTTATTAATGTAATATAATATAGTTGAATTATATAGCGCTTTATACGAAGTCTCAAAGCGCTCAAGTTGTGGACTAGCTTGTGCAGTAACTTGCTTTTCTCATAGTGGTGTCTTCAGGTCTAAGCTACCCGGTAAACCGGTGCCCACTAATCTCATCTTTCCACTACAGGGTCTGTATGGACCAGTACACCGGGCCAACCCCCTAATCCGAAAAGACTTGTTCCACCACCATAACCATAAACGAACATGCTGTTCAACCAGCGCCAATATTATGGCTTTAGGTTGCGACACCCTTGCCTTAACTGCTTTTTCATTCAACTCGACATTCATTCACATTCAACAACAATAAGACAAGCATTCAATGAAAGAAATCCAGCTTTATGTATTTAATTTGCCCATATAAAATGTCACTATAATCAAACATTATCATACACTATGTAGTTAGCAAAAACAATTACAGTAGTTTTTTTCCACACAACAAAAATAAATACATCTGGGAAATACATAATGCCTAAAACCACTAGTAGTATGATAAACTTTTTTAAGCCTACTTCTATTAAATTACAAGCTTCTAAAAATTAATCAACGATAGAAGGGGTAGGTAATGAGGTATGTTCTCACCTGAGTCTTTGCTGATTGACTTGATGAATGTGATCAATTGCTGCTTGGTGTCTATGGAGGCGGGAGCAAGGCTTTTACCATAGCAACTATCTGATTGACAGGTCTCGATGGTTGAGCCGACAGCAACAACTCCAACCTAAATAACATCATGAATAAAACATAATTCATTCCAAGATATAGTTGGTTATTTATGGTGTGTCACCAGGTTATTAGTTATAAAGTAGTAGGTTCAAATCATAACCAGGTCACTTATATCATTACGAGAAATTTCACTTTTTTCTCAAGCTATGTACAGTAGATGTGTATTTTCAGCAAAGTATGAATCATATTAATAAAATTCCATTTATATTTTGGATTAATATTGTGTACATGCGAGAAATTCTTTAAGTACAAGAAAAAGAATGTACATCAAAATAGACAGGTTGCAGGCAATGTACCGTGTCAATAAAAAGCATCAATAATAATACAATTTAACAATTTTCCTTTTGGTTTAGCTCACAATAAGGTGATCACAATTCTGTTTTCCTATCCAATCAACTTATCCACCTGATGATGGCGGTAATGTTGATGATGATAGTGACAATGCCACCCTGAGGTACGTAAGGTACCACATCAAGCCTCTTTGCATTTCACATGAATCCAACACTACCATATTCAGCAACTGTAAAACCCTGTAAAACATGTGACATACTTAAATATGGTCATGAGGACAACATATCATGACCTATATAGGCACATCATGACTATATATGGCCATACAATCAACTATTCTCACTTACCAAGTCATGTTCACAGAGGACTCCCAGGGCAACCACTGCTGCCTCCTGGGCAAGTTTTAGCTGCTCGTTGCTAACCCATGAGCCCCGCTCAATCAAAATCACTACCTTCTTTTGTTGAGGGCGCACAGTGGATGAATACACAGGTCTGAAAAGTAATTCACTTCTAATTTTAGTCGGCATGTTGTAAAAATATTATATATGTTATGCTCCATCGACCTCCAGGTCTCTTTTAGTCAGATTATGTTATGCTTCATCGACCTTCCAGGTCTTTCTGTCAGATAACGTAAATTCATACATTTGTTAAAACATATTTATCATAAATATTGAATTTCAGGAATATGTAGAAGAAAGCATAAAAAACTACTGATGCTATTAATTTGGAACTGAGCTGAGTTTCAGGTACTACAACAATACTATTAAACTAATAAACTAATGACTAAACATAGCATGCTGCAGGGACAGGTGCTTCAGACAATGATGTCAATGACTAGATACTTCCTGTGCATTGTAGCCTAAACATTGAATTTCTCAAATGACATTATATCAAGAGTTGTGTTCTCTATCCCTCTGGTGAAAGCAATTCTGAAGTCCGTTATAGAAAGCAACATTCATAATATTCATTTCTCAAACAAACCGACAGTTCAACTATTTCAGAGGGGTGTCCTCACAAAAGTAACATACTGTAGCATAAATCGATAAGTATTGCTGCAATGACTTTTCAGTTATACTTTATCAATTTCTAAATGTTGTTATATGTTTACTAAGGTAACTGAAAACAAGCCATTATGAAGAAAACATTTAAATGAAGATTTTAAATTTTATTCACAAGCTAAAATTATAAGATAAAATTATGTACAAAATATTTAATAATTATCAAGCTAAAACTTAAATATTGAAGAGGTTCGTGTTTTAATTTGTTTCTTACCTGCTACGTGCATCCCAGCTTTCATCACATGACATTCCAACACTATTAATATTGGAGAAACCAGTAGAGGGGTAAACAACGTGAACCCCCTCCTCCGAGCTCCAGTACTGCCACATTGCCAGATGACATTTTTTCATAGTATTTTTGAAAACTGCAACAAAAAAAAATAGTAATTTTTTTAGAAATGTGCTTAAAAAGAGGGACAGTAAGAATAGCCACCACAGGAACAATGCAGCATGATGGATAATATGCCTGCAACTAATTCCAATGTTTTGGGTCCGAATCCAGATACGCTCCTCACAATGAAACAACTCAACTCCCTAACATCATAATAAAGCTATGAACAAGCTGGCTAGGTTGTGACAAATATGTGACCTCATACGTACTGTACCATACATATTGTCATATGACAGGTATTTATCAAATATGACTCGATATTATACCATAAACCTCGAATAGAAGCCCTGGCTTCAATTTTTTAGGAGCCTCGGATAGGATTTTTTTTAGATGGGCCTCTTTTCGAGATGGGCCTATCTTGCAAAATAAAGAGGGTGCTTTGTTTCAAATTGAATGTTGTAAATTTTGAAATTGCTACTATACAATTATCAACAATGGAATTCAAAATTCTGTTTCAATATTTTTTTAATTTTCTGGTACAATTAAAAATAATATTAAACCTGACATGCTATCAAAATAATAACGTTAATCTGAATGCAAGTACTCTCGAAAGAAGCCCATATTATCTTGATTAGAAGCCCACAGGCTTTTTTTTCGAGATTACTTTTGCAACTAAAGAGGGGCTTCTTTTCGTGATGGGCTTCTTCTTGAGATTAGGTCCGTGGGGCTTCTATTTGGGGCTTTATGGTATATGGACAGAGGTTTAAGTTCATCAAGAATAAAGGGTTGATTAAAACTTATATGTGATGAGGGAAGAAACTGTCTTACTTTTTGATTTCAAGTCACATGTATTCAGTAACAACAACTTATAAAAAAATATGCATTTTTATTATCTATTTTTTGTAAATATTGCAAACTGTGATATTATTTGAAAAAAAATATATAAATGCAAATACAGTATAATATAATTAACCTGATTTTACTTTCAAATTGCGTCAACTTACTTTGTGTGAGGTTTTTAACTGGATTGAAGGCACCAGATGGGACAACTGGTGAACTCAGATCACAAGCATTTTCTTGTGAGATATTGCACTTGAACACACTACTGTAGCTGTATGAAAAATTTACATAAATTTATCAAAAGGTTATAAATTGCCTCTAAACATCTTGATTCTAGATTCAATTGGTAATAGTTACTAGGATGCAGTCAAAAAATCCATTGCACTGGCTGATATATTCTTCAGTTTTAGGCATATCAAGATGAACAGAGGTCTGAAGACTTACTTCCAGTTGGCAGTATGGTTGTTTTGGATATTGAGAACAACATGCCCAAAAACAATTGCTTCTGGAAAGGTGTTAAGCTTTAATTATTAGGTTATGTTTGTCATTAGATACTTAGGAAAACATATTTATTATTATTATTACTATTATTATTATTATTATTATTTATTATTATCATCATCATTATTATTAAAAAGCATTTATATAGCACCTTTACAAAAAAAAATCAAAGTGCTGTACATCAAAACCCATTATTACAAAGATTAAAAAAATGTTTACAATCATGTAATTCAAAAGTAACTAAAAGTAAATCAAAAACAATAAGATAGCCTAAAACTGGAATGAAAGCAGGCAAATGAAAACTACAAAACCAAAATAAAAAAAACACAAATTAAATTTAAAAACAGAAAGGAAAGGTACAATATTACTGAATACAAATACTGTAAAGGCCTCTTTTTTAAACATTAAGAAATTACAATGAGAATAAAAAGTGTTGCAAATGTTGTGAGAAAGGTTGTTCCAAATGTTTTAGTATTTTTAATGTGTTTACCGATTTCTAATTGTGATATAACATAATATGTAGTCTGAAATAATTTACTAATAAAGAGAAGCGAATGACTTATTTTTTATTTGTTTTTGCTAACACTCACTGTAACGTTTGCGACTGAAGCTTGCAGCAACTTCGTCCTGCCAAAATTGGCTGTGATCGGTGGGCTTGGTATAACTTCTCGACATTATTCTTATTATAATCAAGCTGCTTCAGGTACTTTGCGAGTTTCGTTCCCACACTGAATGTCAACTGAAAACAGAACATAAAAAATTGATATTGAATGAATAAATGCACCGAGAACTAATACCCTATACATGAATATCGTGAACAGCATCAATAATTTACGAGAACGTGGATTCTCAACAGAACAATAACTTTCTCGTTGAGGAATTTTACAGTTTTCAAAGTGGCATTCGCTCCACGTTAACATCACAATTTTGGTGAGCCCGCAAAAATCCTTATAATGCAGATTGTGGATATAAAATGTACATATTCTGAACAGTCCAAGTGATTGGCTATGATTTAGAATACAGATTCATTTACATCTACACATGCATCATGACACTGACAATCAAAATTAATATGAGATTCTGTGCGGGAACTCTTTTAATTATATACAGTACAACACATTTTTTAACACATAACCTTTATTATATTATCATTATTATTATTTCTTACTTATTTTCAGTACTGTATTACAAAATAATTTAATAAAAGTGTAACATTGATTATAAAAGTATCTTTTCGGGGCATGTATTACGATGAACTTAATTCCACATGAATTGAAAATTAGCTATGCATGGGAGTGATGGAAGTCACCACTAATCAAATTAAAATTTGCCACCAAATCTAGTGGAATTAATGTGGCTGAACGAACAAGTTCAAATTTTTGCTTGGAGTGGCTTTTTAAAATAGATTACCTTATATTTTCACAACCAAAATCAAAATCATAAAATATTCATAATGTGGGAAATTAATTCTAAAATATTCTTGCATGAAATGCGATGTCAAAATAGAGTTTCGCATTTTGTCATAAATGAAGGCATATAAATCTTGATTTGATCTAAGACATATGGATAGCCCAGCATGCAATCAAAGGGATCTAGCACGCTAATTACCAGTACAAACAAGGAAACAGCAAGCTATCTATACTGGTTACTATATTTACATATAGCTAAAGAGGTACAAGTTCAGTCTGTTAACAGTATGATATTTTACAGATGACAGACCACCAGTATTGGAACAGCCTTGGGTGACTACTGGCCATTGGAGCAGGGTTGATTTTATTACCCTAGGCCCTCCTTTGTTCTACAACTTTCACAGCTATCCACCATCAAGGACAGACTCTTGGCCATGTTTTTCTAATGTATTAGTAAATATGTGCACAACTCTTTGGAGCTTGTTCGATAATTTCTGACATCATTAGTGTAGATAACAATGCCACCACTTCTTTATAGTTCTGTCGATTAAAAGCACAAGGCCAAAAATAAAAGTTCCTCATCCCTTCTCTTATGCTCTGTCACAGATTATCAAATTTTCTTTGACAAAAAAACTACCCATGCCCATTATATAATAGTGATGATGTGCTTATATACATATTTAGGCAAGTCACATGATTTTGTCAAATAAAATTTGACTCACACTGTCTGAACCTAGGGCTTTATCCATTTTTTCGTGCCGCCAGCAATTTTTTTTTTCCATTTTTCATTTTTCGCAAACAAAAATTCTCAGCAATCCTGATCATCTTTTTTCAACATTCCCTACTTTTATTTTTGCCTATTGAAGTTCTAAATCATAAATGAATTGGTATACCAGTACTGTAATAGCATAGGAGTGGTATAGTACATATAGGAGTGGTATAGTACATACACTCCATAAAGAATAATTAACAATATCCAAGGGAGAACAAAGTAAATAAACCTACTTATCAACTATTAAATTGAATTCACCTTGTGACCTTAAAAATACAGTACGTGGATATTTGCTGGTTAGCATTTTCGGAATTAAGTTATCAGTGAAATGCATGGTGGCCACAATTAAAAGGATTAAGAGGTTGAGTGCTGCGATAAAACATATTGTCATAAACATTATAGTATAAACGTAATACTATAGCAGTAAAATAACTTCTAGAAGCGGTTTGGCGCAGGTTGGGGTTCAATCCCTTGCTGTACATTTCACATACTGCGTATGTTTTTTAAACCTGTTGTGTACTTCTGATGTTTCAATTTTTAATGCATTTTTAATGTTACTTTTACCTGTATTTTTTATGTCTTGTGCTTGTGTTTCATTGATGTTTTAATATTGGACTACATTTTTTGTAGATAGGGAGCTTTCGATTGTATGACAACGGTAGGACGCAGGAATGTACAGTAATGACGTCACTTAAAGTCATCTGCGCATGCGAGAACATTAAGGTCACCTTGTCGAGTAGATTCTGGAACGCAATTTGGCCAAATCTATGTATGCAGAGAACGTAGGACGCTAGGTAGGACGGTCAAACATTAGTGATTCCGTTCTAGTGTCGCGTCGTCGCACAAATCGAAAGCTACTTATTATCATATAATTCAGCCTTGGCTTTGATTTTGATTTCAATAAAAGATATTGAAACTGAAAAAAAATAATAATTTTCAAGATCCTTTTCTATTAGTTTCCCCTCCAACTTGAGACCACCTTTGGACCTGAAAATTAGGGGTAGTCTCAGAGTTCGGCCTCCAATTAGAGGGTTAGCTTTGTGTTAAAAGAGTGAAGACTGTCATTAGTTGGTCTTGAATCAGTGGTGTCTTGGAATTAGAGGAGTCTCAATTTTGAGGGGTAATTATTCAATTATTCTCAGATTTTGTTGACAGAACTGGTACTGGTATGGGCATTTATAATAGGCCTCTTCCTTTAGGTTAAAAAGCGCTTCTTTTCCCGGGTCATTGAGTCCTCATGCATTAAGTGTTGCTGCTGGTAATCAGCGCAGAAGCAGGCAACCCCTACCAGGTACTCATATTTATACTCCTGGACGCAGGGTTCCCGGAATGCCGCCCTCAGCGGCGAGTGCGCATCACAACTCAGGGTCAAAAGTGGAACGTGAAATTTGGATATGGTTTTGTAGTCAGATTTGCGAGAAAAACTTCAGCTACCCGTATTTCTCGACTGAGACGTCAGTGGGAGCTGTAATTTGTATGGCAAGGAGATTGAGCAACCCTTCATTCATATTAAGGGAATTTACGCCCAGAAACTTTGTAGTTATTAATATTTTGGTTATAATAGAAAATAATTATTTTTTGGTGACGTCACACTCACATTAGTTAGAATGCATACGTCATAAGCTAGATACGTCACCTTTTCCTGGTAAGGCAAACTTTCCCGGCGTGCTTTTTTCATGGATAAACAAACACCACTGCTTTGCACATGGATGCCTTGCCCAAGCCAGGGCTACAA